GTGGCTCAGTGGTTGAGCATCAACCCATGAACCAAGAGGTCACTGGTTCAATTCCTGGTCAGGGCACATATCTGGGTTGCAGACTTGATCCTCCAGGGGGCGGGGGTGGAGTACAGGAGGCAGCCCAGATGTTTCTATCTCTTCCTTTCCCTTCCTCTCTCTCTAAACTCAATAAAAACATTTTTTAAAAAAGAAATATTCATTTAAACATTTAATAAATAGTTACAGGATTCCTACTCCATTGTGTGCTGGAATCACAGAAATGAATAAGACCCTTTCTCCTTAAGGAACTACCTACTGGGGAAAATAAACATGTAAAACACACATGTGAACACACACACACACACACACATACACAATGTTGAGGTAGTCTGGTGGAAGGAAAGCTGTATCTTTACTGATGAATAAGGACTGGTCAGGAAGGAGAGAAAGATGGAAGACATTATAATCAGAGGGAGCAACAAGAACAAAGATCAAGTAGTTTGTGGAAATACAAGCTGTTTCCTGTGGCTAAAGCAAATAATTCTGGAACTGAGTTGGGTAACAGAAGAGGCTGGCATTAAAAGACATGGGAGCCATACTGAGTTTTAAGTATAGGTGTGAAAGGTTCAGATGTATGTTTTGGAAAGAACACCCTAAAATTGACATCCTGTTCTCCTCCCAGGGTGATGAAAAGGTCAAGAAGAATGGAGAGGTTACCAGCTGCCAATTACCAATCCCAGGCCAACCTACAATGTGCCAAGAGAATGAATCTCTACATTTACCAACTCCAGGTTTTCATTGCCCAGAGCTGCTACAGAGTCCTATTGACAAGTGGGGCAACAGGTGTATGCATATGTTTGATTTATTACATGGGTTACTCATCAGGCAAAGGGGAGGAAGCCACGGTGGATTTTTTTCTCAATGCCTCTGAAATTTTCAAATAGGAATGTATAGGTTTTCATAATTAGGCAAAACCAAAAATCCCTCTCTTTTTTGATCATTCAGTACCTCACTTAAGGTGGATTTACCACACCCTGGTTGGTCCTCTAATGCTACCCACTTCTTAGTTTATATTGTACTTGCTTTTATTATAATATGGGGAATTATTTTGATTCCTGGGTTACCTTGTTTAATGTCGGTACAACCTTTCTTTGATGAGACACAATACCTATCTTTCTTACAAATGCATATATCATATGTGTATAGAAATTGCAAAATTTTTCACAATTCTTATTTCCACTCTGCATCCACATTCTTTGTACTAAGATTTTGCTGCTTCATACATCAAAAGGTGAGTCTCTTGATTATGGGATGACCTTGTGATTGGCTTTGGCCAATATAAATTGGTGGAAGTGACAGCATACTAGTTCAGAGCCAAGACCTCAAAAAGCCTTGTGTAGTTTCATGTTCTCTCTTAAAACCCTACCTCCAGCATTTGACAGAGGATGAAAGTCCACAATGAAGACAGCTCAGTTGTTCCAGCTGAAGTCATCCTCCACCAGCATATAGCCATCTGACATGCAAACACAGGAAAGAGCCTAGCCCACATAAGCTGATTATCTACCTAATCCAAAGCTGATCACCAATACAGATGAATATGGATCAACCCAGCTGACCTATAGACCTGAAAGCATTAA